GAGAGAGAGAGAGAGAGAGAGGCGTGGAAAGGGGAGGGGGCGCAGACTTTGGGCCGTGATGCCAAGCAAAAGAAACTTTCGGTCCATGGTTACAATCAAGCACACCAGGGGCTGATGCTAATAAGATGCCATATGAATAACGCACTTTTCAGAATTCCTTAGTCGCTTTAACCACGGTATGATTTCATTTAGCTATTAATAGCAAGGCCCCGGAAAATTTGCAGCTTTGGATCAAGTGCAACATCACTGTTAACGCTATAAGATAACTTTGACACCACATTATAATAAATATAATTAAAATTTTGTAAGCCCCCTTCAACACAAATTTAGACTATTAAGGAGACGGGCTGCTTCGATTTTACCTGTCCTAGCCAACACTGGCTGGGAGAGATACAACATCCAAGGAGACAGACAGAGTTACTCGATTTAAAAAATAAATAATGAATAACCTCTACCCACAAGGGAATGGATTGAACTCACGTCTTCTGCGTGCGAAGGTGAAATGCCTCGCCGCTTTACCACAGACAATGGTCGCACCCTGTTTGCTTCTTACACTGTCTTGTGGCCTGTTTATTGCCTTGCATTCAATGGTCTGTGAGAGGCATGAGTTATAAATAGCAAGAAAGAACAAATCAATTTTTACAGCCTACATTACATGTAGGGTTTCAATAAGGACATAGCTTCAAATATTGGTCCCAAGACACTGTCATTTTGTTACACCAATGCTTGGAAAAGGCACACTTCACTCAGCGCACTTGACCAGCGTGTTTAAATTAAATACGGTTATCAGTTCCCACCGGAAAAGCCCCCGCCCCCCCTCCCCCTTTTCATCCTCCACATCATTTTACATCTTTTAGATACAAAGGCATGTTGTACATAAGATATGTGTACGTGAATAAGTTTCTCAAGTTACATAAATATCAAAATAAACAGCCACATCAGCACAGCCTCCTAATCATGAGACAAGGTTATCGTGTCTTGCACCAAGATGCAAGCAAGTGACCACTAATCTAAAAACCATATCAGTGACATTGCCTGACGATGTTCTTGTGTTTGAGTCGGACCTCTCGTTAGCAGGGACCTTACTGTATAACCTCCTTGCTCGTCCTCCACCTCAAAGCCCTCATCCCCTTTCTCCATTTATTTACAGGTTTACCTTCTCGTGGCAATGCATACATGAATCTCAACAATGCGGATGTAAGGAGGGCTCTTGTCAGCGCTAAATATGGCTATCGTTGCACTCGTGGTCACAAATGGACAGTCTGCAAACTAGTGTGTGTGTGTGTGTGTAAGTGTGTGTGTGCGTGCATGTGTGTGTGGGGG